TTTTCAAATTGATGTTTTGACTTTTAACTTTTATAAAATGATCCTTCGATTTTTGAATTTTAAGTTAAAATGGTTCTCATGATTAGCTTTAGCGTTAAGTTGGTGTTAAAATGAATGGTAAAATTATAAATTTAAGTTTTGCATTCCAATTTAAAGCAATCTATGATTCCTTTCAACAGTCTGTGCACATATTTCTTCAAATTAAGTTTTTGATCTCCTAAAGTTGCAATTAAAATGTGTGATAATCAACTAGAAGGCCAAAAAGTTCATCTTCAACTTCATCCACAAACTTCCTAAGTCAAAGATTTATAGCCTTCTAGTTGATTATCCCACATTTTGATTGTAGATTTAGGAGAGCAAAAACCTAATTTGAAAAAATATGTGCGCAGATTGCTAAAAGGAATCACATGTTGCTTTAAATTGGAGTGTAAAACCTAAATTTCCAGTTTTACCTTTCATTTTAGCACAAACTTAAGCCAAAACTAACCGATGACCATTTTGACTTAAAATTCAAAAGTCGGAAGACTATTTTGGAGAAATTAAAAGTCAAAGGACCAATTTGATAAAAGATCATAGTCAAAGGAGCATTTTGGAAATTAACTCATTTATTTAAAATTTAATGAAAAAAAAATTCATACCATTATTATACAATAATTGTAGAATTCATCCTTAATTGTTTGTTATGCTCATTTTTCATCCCTAAACTATTATTGACGTTACACTTTTCGACTTTTCGTCATTTTACTAACCAAACATTAGGAACAAAATTTACAAGGTTAATAGAATCTCAAATGGTTGTAAAGCACTCTCTCATGAATTTTAAGATAATTATATGATGGCACAAGTGTCGAATAGGCCCATCTACTACTGCGAAGTGCTCAATTTTCACTACGAACTAAATTAAGTGTCAAATAGGTTCATCTACAAGTTAAATTTGTTCAATTGACTTTTTTTACAAGTTAATAACATGTTACCTATTTAATTATTAAAATAAATAAATAAATAAATAAAATAAAATAAAATAATACAGCCACCGGCTGTCCTTGCCGGACAGCCGGTGGCTGCCATTTCAAAGATAGCTGTGGTTGTTACCTGCAAAAAATGTTAATTGAACAAATTTAGTAGGTAAGTGTGTTTAATTAGCCTTTAATTTAGTTCATGGTGGGAATTGAGCACTTGACAATAATACATGAGCCTATTTGACACTTCTCTCTTATATGATTAATTCAAATGAAATTACATTCTTATACCATTTAATTTAAATTAATTGGATGACCACTTTATTTATTTTTGAGCTAACAAAAGCATTTACTACACTAGATTTATTGAACTTCATCTTGGTACAATCTTATAAAATTTACCATTCATTTTATATGACAATAACTTATTAGTGGTAATTGACAATTTTCTAATAACTATTGTGAAAATAAAATTAGGAGGCAATCATAGAGACCCTCACTTCCATTTATTGATGTCATGAGGGGTTAGTGAATTCGAACTAGAGTTACTTAGGTTGTTATCTTTGACATGTTTTAATGTACGTAAGGAGGTAAATAGTTGTATAAATTAAATGATAATGCATTTTGATATATATATTTTTTTTTTGGTTACAAATAAAATAGCCTTTATTTAATTAAGATCAAAACATAGACTATTTAAAATGATAGCGGATGAAAACTCAAACCAAATCATACATACAAAGAAAAGGCAACATTGATCATTTATGATTTGGTTTCCATATTTTTAAAACTCCTAACATCATTCCCTTGCTTATGGTTGATTCCATTGGTGTGATATGGTAACATTTGTTTTGTATGTAAATGTTTTGATATTTTGTGTTATCTTTTCACACATTGAAAAAAAACAAATAGAAAATCAAAAAGTAGGAGACTTGTAGTGAACTTTTTTAAAATATAAAAAAAATATCAAATAAGAATTCAAACTTTATATGAAAAAATTATATTTAGACCATTAAACTTTTAAAAATTACAATTAAACATATTAACTCGTCGATTTGATATATTTAAATTGATAACTTATTAAATTGTTATAATTAAGTCAATATAGCATGCCAACCTAGGATTAAAACCAGTAAACTTGTTAGACGCGTCATTTTTTTAATACAAAAATGTTTACAAATAATTATGATTGTCTTGTCCGGTGCTTCGCCATCATTTGGATGGAGAAGCCACAGTCGGCTTCTTTATCTATGTTTTAAATTCATTTATTCGAATAAATATTGTCACACTAATATTTTTGCCAGTTACCTTTAGGTTATCGACTATTTAGTTTAATTACACCAAATTAATAAGTTAACGTGTTTAATTATAACTTTTAAAAGTTCAATGATCTAATTATGACTCGAGATCGAGTCTCACGTACTAACGGTAGTGTGAGAGCAACCTCTCAAAGTTAGGAGTTCACTGTGCGCAGTAAGCAAAGGTCTAGCTTCTGTGTTTAGCTGAATTACCATAATTTACATCATTTCATATGCTCTATCGGGCTGATACATGAAGGTCCTTGGGAGTGAAAATTCAACCTTCTCGAAACAAAAATTAAACAATAAATTAAGAAAAGGTTTGTTTATATATGCATCGATAAAGTTGCAGTCAAGGAGGAAAGCACAAAGTTTTACTCCCCAATCAAGATGATTTCTTTAATCATCAACAAATTGTGTTCTTCAAAAATTTATAATTTAATTCATTCATGTATCTAAATTTTGATTTTATATTTTTGGTCTCCTTTTCATAATACGCCACGTACTCTTGGTCTAAAAGTTTTTAACAACTACCCAAGTATTTACTGGAAATAGATGTTGTAGTGATTGTTTGCCTCAAATTTGAGCATATGTTGACATATTGTTAACATAATATATGTATGTACTCGTTAACATTTTTTAATTATAGTAATTAAATTCAACAAAACCATATACTACAAAAGGTATAATGTTTTCTACTATTATATTTAAACCAAACAAACAAACAAAAAAAAAAAAAAGTAATTTTAGTCCCTCAATTATTAATTTAAGAATTAACCATTAAATTTCTTATGAGGTTGGGATTTTGGTCCCCCACTAACCGAGATAGTTAAAATTGGTCACATTTACATTGTACATGTGATCATGTCAATCAATATAAGTACAAAATTGTAGTTTAAAAATTTTAAATAATTCTCCGTTAAGAGTTTCAAGAATCAAAATGGTCAAATTACCATGAAAAGGTGAACCAAAAGTCCAAAACCATTTTGTAAAATTTAAGAGCATCAATAATGCTCATGTTTATAACTTCTATTTATGGGAAAGCTTATCATCATTATCCAAATATGCAATATTGGTGAAACCTATCTTATGACTCTAGCTAGTAAAAAATCACAAGATGGTAAATAAGTTTAGTTGTTTATAGTTAAGCGATTCAAACTAAGTTACTAAATCAATTGCTCAAGCAACTCACATGTTCACTCATGTTTTTTTGTGTGTGTGTGTGTAAATCACGAGATGTTTCGGGTCTTTTTTCGTCTGTCTTTACGGTCCGGATCCACCATATTAATCCTTGTTCGCTTCGAGAGGCATGAGAACTAGCCTAAGAAGAATTATCACTTATACGAATCAAATCCGAGTTATCTCTATAATCATTCTCAAAAAAAAAAAAAAAAAAAAAAAAAAAAAAACTCATTTGCTACTTGAGTTACCATTTGGGTTATTCACTCATATTTATATTTATAACTAATAATGACTAATGAAGTTGAAATTATTATTTGGTATAAATATATAAACCAAAAACGTATGAATTAATTAAAGATTTTGGTAGCATAAGATCTAACTAATCTGTGCTTTTTCCATTAATGATGTGATAATATACATGACATGATGACAATGACTCCCAATTCACAAGCATAAATCAACAATAGTGATAGTTCATGATTGCACTTTTTTTTTTTTTTTTTTAATTGGGTGAGTAAGAAATCACAATTACTACCTAATAGTATATATTAGATAAATTTTGTTTATGGGTAATAGTTCGTAAACTATATAAAAGAGATAAACTACATTATAAAGATCCCATACGACAAAATTAAAAAAATATTAGCGATAATCAAACTCATGACCTTTGCATACGAAAATCATGTTCTCCATGCGACAAACTCAATCAAGAAGATGTTAACGATAATCAAACTCGTGACTTTCGAGTACGAAAATCATGTTCAGCCCACTTAGTCACTTACTGCCTTTGTAGGGGCATGATTGCGATTCCTGCACCAACTGCTATCCATTCTCCGGATAAGAAAGGGGAAAAAGCCACTCCTAATATAATCAACCAATCTACATGTAAACACAAAAGCAAACGACAGGGTTACGCTAAAACACCCACCAAATTCCAACAACATAAGTCTTTTGATTTGCAAGCTGTGCTTTGCATGGGAGTGTTGGATAGATGTCTACATAGGCCCATACTCTGCACATGGAACTAACCTTTTTTGTGAAACAAGCCTCTCATTATATGGTTTTGCACAAGGCAAATGCAAGGTGGGGGGTGGGGAGAGGGAGATGGGGCTCCCCAATTTAGGAAAGTTAGGCAAATTATCAAACTCCAATAAAAAAAAAATACGAGATTTTTATATGGTGTCGATACTAATGTAATTGTGCACCCAATACAATCAGGTATATTATACTTGGTTGTATCGAGTATTGTAGGTACTGGTACAGTACTCGATACAACCAACTATAACAAACTTGATTATATGCAATACTGCCAACTTTGTAGAAAGCTAGATTATGACTTATACACCATCCAGAGTACTGAGAGAAGTGAGAGAAAACTCTTCCTTATTCACGTGATCCCACAACAGCCCCGAGGAACTCCTGTTCATCAGACAAAGGACTCAAGCAATCGACAACGAAGCTATGGTTGGTGGTTAGTACTTTACGATCCCGTATATCACGTATTTGTATTCCTAAGTGATTTATATGCTTACATTACAAGTATGCAGAAATGACTGGACTCTTGATTAGCCAAAACTCAATGTAACTATTAAACACGGGCACAGAGTCTTTGACTTGAAGAACACAAATAGTAGCATGCCCCTAGGAGTTTTATCAAGTTTGATACCTAAAAATGGCTAAAATATGGAGTTAGTGCAATATCCCAAAAAATGGAGAATGAACATATGCTACATAACATTTACTCATTTCATTTAGTAAGAGGGATCTAACTTGCCCTACTTTAGCCAAAAAAAAATCTAGATTTTAAAGCCTGAATAAAGGTCCAAAGTGCAAGGCAAAACATCTAAAATAACCAGAAAAGCTATGTTGGATGCTCTTCCAAGTAGTGCAGACACCATTTCCTCGATGATCAAGCTGGCAGCTCGAGTTTCGAGTTGTTCTTCCAGCTGCAGCAGCCATCATCACAATAAGCAAGTCACGAGAAGATCGACCCAGACAAGGAAACGCCTAATAAGTTTAAACGAACTTTACCTTTGGAAGTAATAATAGAAGAAATCAGCATAAAGCAGTGTCTGAACAAGCCCCGATATCCAAGCTGCAATCAAATTGAATCACCAATAAGAAAACGATGTTATTATATACATGCATGATCGGAGCCACATTGTCCTTGTATGCACAATGGGAACGATGACACTGAAAAGGAAGTATCATAGTGAGGGGTAGGGGGATTGTGGTATGCAAACAATCATACTTATCCAAGAATGGACGTAATATGGCTCAGTGAAGTAGCGATAAATCCAGTTCAGAATGTAGAAGGCACGGTATGCACTGCAATAAAAGAGTGATAAATGTATCAATGTTACTGCTAAAAGAATGTCATCAAGTAAAAACGTCTAAAACGAAACCAATCAAAACATTGAAGAGATAAAAGATGTTATTTGGAACTGTAGTGGTAACATACATGGGCGAAACCACACTAAAAGATTGAATCCAACCAATTAGCTAATCTAACCCATAGCCTTATAAACCCATATGTTCTCCCTTATTTTATCAATGTGGGACTCTTAACAAGCAGTCCATCCACATAGACTAGATAATCAAGATTGTTAATAGAATGTGTTCAAGATTTGAAGCATACCCCAGAAGGAAAACATATTGTCCGGTCAAGTTGTCGATATTTCTAGTCCTCTGCAACAAGACGAGCTGAGGCAGGATGGCAACAGCTTCCAAGTATATAGAGAACGTCCACATGACCTGGTAAAGCGTACAACCGTTATAATCTTGAAATGCTAGAAAATTTCGGAATTCCAATGCCAGAAGCGAATAGCAATAGAAAAATGGATTCAAGAAAGCATATATATAACTGCAGTTGAATGAATGCAGGGGTACCTCTTTGAAGGTAAACTTATCATTTATAACGAGGGCCAAAAGCAGACATGGAATAACAAGGAAAACGTGGCGGAAAGTGTCGTGCTGTTTATCATATGATCTCCGAACAGTTTTGTGATGCCTCATGTACCACACAATTGAGAAGGAGCTTCCCAAGAATATCAACTTCAAAGTGGTATTGTAAATAGAGATAAAGGTCGTGAATAAATCCAAGTAGCGAGTGGCAAAAACAACCGCATACAATTCTTGTGTCTTAAGAGAAACTCCTACACATGACAAAATATTAAACGACAATAAGATTCCAAGAGAATGCAGGATCCCGAACAAATTCCAGAATGCAAGCATAGATAGAATGCTACAAAAGATAGCAGATAATATACTGTCACAAGAACATATGGAAACATAGTGATAAGTTACAACAAAAGAAGTCATATGATGTACAGATAAACACAAAAGATGACAGGCCGACAGCCTATGGTCACCAGTTTGTTTTTGCATCTCTGGGAAAAACCATAGGGAAAAAGAAGCCTGTACACATTCATGGGGAACATCTTACTAAAGCAACTTCTCCCTAATAACCTTATCTACTATTATGCTTTTGGCATTACATATCAGATATGTATATGAAGAAGGTATAGCAAATTCTGTTTCATAACCATTTTTTTAGCTTCCTTGAATGAGATAATAAGTTGTCAGCCTAAGCCATCCAACCTAGGACCTTTCAAATAGTTCTGATATGGCAATAGAAGGATGTTTTTCGTCTTAAGCTCAACAAGAACAAATTAAATGTTAATAAACAATTCAACCTTGAGTGCCCCAACCAAATTGGTCAGGAATAACCTTGGTAACCACAAGGTTACCGGTTCAACTTCCAGCAAGAGCGGCCTAAAGACCTTTTATCTTAGTTTGAGCTGGTCAGCTATGGGCAAGCAGCCTGGTTTACCTCTTTGTTTACCGGGCTAGAGTCACAAGATTGGTTTGAGTTGGTCAGTTATGGGCAACCAGGCCGATTTACTTCCTTTGTACTTTACCAGCTAGAGCCCCAAGATCAGGTTTATCTCATGTACACACTCGAGAATGACACTGAAAATGGAAAACTAGGAATGTAAAACCTTGAGTGCCCCAACCAAATTGGTCAGGAATAACCTTGGTAACCACAAGGTTACCAGTTCAACTTCCATCAAAAGCAACCTAAAGGCCTTTTTCCTCTTGGTTTGAGCCGATCATCTATGGGCAACCAGGCTGGTTTACTTCGTTATTTACGAGGCTAGAGTCACAAGATTGGTTTGAGTCAGTCAGCTATGGGCAACCAAACTGGTTTACTTACTTGTACTTTACCGGCTAGAACCACAAGAATAGGTTTATCCCACCTACACACTCGAGAATGACACTGAAAATGGAAAACTAGGAATGTAAAACCCAGGATTCATTACAAAGAACAGCATTGAGAAACACTATAAACTCACAGCACCAGGAAAGCTCAAAGGTTAAATCTTTGCTCAAAAGGCTCACTGATATAACTAACGAGTAATAACCCATTTCCCACAAGCCCGAATTCATCAAGATGCACACACACACAGACACACATTTCGGATTTTTGGTTTCAGGGTCCGGAAACCGGAAACGGGGCTCCTGAAATCATACCCGCGCAAGATTTGATGGTATGGATCTTGAGGAGCAAAACCAGGACGCTGGCCAAATGGGTCATGTCCCCTGCAAATCTGAATATATTCATCGTAGCGTTTTCTGTCAAAAATCATTTAGTCTAAAACCACATACGAGCTTGGTGGATCACGAGATTAAAAAGGCTTCAGATAACAATATTTACAGAAAGGAAAAGAAGAAACAGAAAACCCCACTCCCCAGTTCATATCATTTCCGGTTAGCATCGTTTGACGGGCAGTCAGGGGTGCGATTTCAGTACGAGGTATTGGGTAGAAAACACATGGCAGCATGCCAGTATGGCCACGTGTTGTTTGAGCTAGAAACCTTAAATTGGGTTAAGAATTAAGATGTTAAAAGGAAAACGGTAAGGGGGCGTTTGGTTCAAGTTATATAACATAACCAAGGGAATGTGACATTTCAAAGCTCAGATTCCTATGTTTAGTTCATATTATCTGAGGGAATCTAATATTCCCAAGGAATGTCACATTCTCTCCACATAGGATTTTAAAGGGAATGTGATTCCCTTCAATTTCTTAGGTTATGTAAGATAACCTTGGTTATGTTAGAGATATTATAATGTGTATAAAAGATAACCCTAAACCAAACATGATTATATAACATACCCCAATTTTAACCAAACACAGGAATCTAAGATTCCCAGTAATCTAACATTCCCTGCAATCTAACATTCCCTAAGGTAATCTGACATTCCGTGAACCAAACGACCCCTAAGCGTATTCCCAATAGGGAGTAACTTTTATTAAGTGTTTAATTTTTATTGTATAAAGAAAAATGAATGAATAAATTCATGATTCATTCATTTTTATTAATTAATCAAAATATGACACATTGACACATTGTATAAAGTAAAAAATAAGAATCTCTTTCCAAGTCTAAAATTGAGTTTCACGATTTTATTTGCTAGCCCAATTGAAAACAAATATTATGTTATTTTAGTAATATTTTTTTTTTTTTTTTTGACGGGAACTCTCATCCTCACCTTAAAGAGAACGAGGAAAAGCAAAAATTTGAAGAACAATTAAAAAAAAAAAAAAAAAAAAAAGAGAATTGTTTACAATTTCTTGTTGGGGACAGGAATACTCTTCATCCTCCTATCCCGTATTGTTTCCAATATTTATAAGGAATAAGGGTCAAATAGGCCATCGAACTGCACACAATAATGCAATTAGGCCATTGAACCTAAAAAAACAACAATTGGGTCCCTAAACTAACCATTTTCATGCAATTAAGCCAATTTACAGGTTTTGCAAGTTAGTAACAGGTCACTCAAATTTTAAAATATATATTTTTTAATTATTATTTAAAAATAATAATTTAAAATTAAAAAAAAAAAAAAAAAACCAAGTTTAACCGTCTACGCCGGAGACGAGTTTCTTCGTCTCCATGGCCGAAGACGAAGAAACTCTTCGTCCCCGGCCAGAGACGAAGAAACTTTCTTCGTCTCCGGCAGAGCGAAGAAACTTTTTTTTTTTTTTTAAATTAATTTATTATTTTTAAATAATAATTTTTTTAAAAAAATATTTTAAAATTTTTGGGTAACCTGTTATTAACCTACAAAGCTTATAAATTAGACTAATTGAATGAATTTTGTTAGTTTAGTGACCTAATTGTTGTTTTTTAAGATTCAGTAGCCTAATTGCATTATTGTGTGCAGTTCAATAGCCTATTTGACCCTTATTCCAATTTATAATACTTCGTTTTTATTTATTTATTACTTTATCATTAAAAATTATATTAATTTCTCACTTTAACTTGAAGGTTAACTAGGGATAGGAATATACTCCCTACCCTACCCTACTTTGTTGCCATCCATGAGATATTCACATAATTTTTTGTTATTTTTTACTTTTAATTGTTCGATTATAATAATATTTAAACTTATAATTTAACTAAATTTATATGTGCGATGTACAAAAGTAAATACACAATATTAGTATTTAATGTTAAAATAAAAGTTATATTAATTTTTTTTTTAAATAATAGCATATAGAGTTTTTTTTTTTAAATCATAAAAATCATAGCTGTATAATTCATATTATATTTAAAAGTATAGATGATAATTTGAGTGATAATTATAGTATGATTAATAATTGTTAAAGTAAGAATTTTTGACATGATAAATGATTAAATATAGTTATGATAGTATTTAATATATACGGAGTACTAAACAAAGTTTAATGGTATAAGACTAATTTTATTTTATATTGCAAAATTAAAAGAGTAAGACTAAATGTAATATGACAAAATTAAAAAAATATGACTAAATATGACATTACCACAATAGTCGATGACTAAAAGTGGAATTTGCTCACCAATGTTATTTTATTATGCAATTAATGCTATTTATTAGATCTATCTACATTTGTCTTGGGCAAAATTGAACAAAGTCATTCAACGACACGAGTTTATTCTTGCTAATGCTCTCTCAGTCAAGCACATTGCATAGATTTTCTTAGTGTGATTTACCTTTCATTTACATTCTCACTAATAATGCACATTGATGGGGTATGGACCCGCAAATTATGCTGTGCAATCGAATGCACCTTGCAAGGCGCATACGGTTGCAAAACGGTGCCGTTTTGGTTAAAAAAACGCGCGTCCCACTTAAAGAAAAAATCAGGTTCGATTCCCGGCAATAGCATTTTTATATATCCAGAAATTCATAACTATATATCCAGAAATTTATAACTATATATCCACAAATTCATAACTATATATCCACAGTGAATGAATGAAGTAAAAATCCACAATGAATGAATGAATGAACTAAATATCCACAATGAATGAACTAAATATCCACAATGATTGAACTAAATATCCATAATGAATGAACTAAATATCTATAAATTCATAACTATATATCCAGAAATTCATAACTATATATCCATAAATTCATAACTATATATCCACAGTGAATGAATGAAGTAAATATTTACAATGAATGAACTAAATATCCACAATGAATGAACTAAATATCCATAAATTCATAACTATATATCCACAAATTTATAACTATATATCCATAAATTCATAACTATATATCCACAATAATGTTATTGCTGAGAATTGAACCTGAATTTTTTTTTTTTAAAGTGAGACGCGCGTTTTTAGTCAAAACGACGTCGTTTTGCATCATATGCACCATGCGCATGATACATTCGGTTGTACGGCATAACTATTGGGTATGGACCCCAGTGGGTTAGAGGCCCAAAAATGAAAAGTAAATGAGTAAGTTGGGCTTCAAGAAGTGGGCCAGAAATAAAGATCCATTTGATTAAGAGAAGGAGCGGGTTAGGTCGAGGACTTGGTCCGGAGACGACCGAGTCCAGACAGTCGACCTCAATAGGAGTCCAGTGCTATAAATAGGACTCCAGAGACATTTGGAGGACATTCGAAAAAATCTAATACACTGAAGCACCATTTTCTGAGTATTCTGAACATTTGTTCTAACTTCTAAGCATTGTATCTTCTCTTCCTTCTTTTTACCTCTATTTTCCGGTGAATCCACCACTCTATTGGTTATGTTGGACCTCCGTGGACCTCCAAAAAATCTTAAAATCAACACACATCATCGGATAATGGTTACGAATTTCATTCGTCATCACCACCCCCCCCCCCCCCCCCCCCCCCCCCAAAAAAAAAAAAAAAAAGAAGAGAAACAAAATAGAACAAACCATTGAACAAGACTAAGGAAATTTACTGTCATCCGGCTATATTGACATTTTTCATCAGTATGTAATATCATCTCTTATGAAATGTGTAATATTTTTTAATTATAATGTAATACTTTTTATAGATTTTATATTAAAAAAATATTATATTTTATTTAAAAAGTATTACACGTCTCACGTGAAATGACATCACACAATACTTAGTTTTTTAGATTTTATGATTAACTTTCAATTCAACCATTATTGGTTATATGACTATCAATTTTGCAAGAGTTAATTCCAGCAATGGTCCTCCGACTATAGTGATTTTCCAAAATTAGTCTCCGACTTTTAATTTGGACACTTTAGGTCCCTTGACTTTCAATTTCTTTCCAATTGAAGTCCTTTCTTTAGAATACGGTTCATTAGACTTTAAATGAAGGGGTAAACTCATCCTTTCACCTGCCTATGTATTATTCTTCGTATTTCTCCCTTCGTATTTCGCTGTTATACCTTGTAAACATCTCAATAATAGAGGAACGCACACACGAGTAGTTAGCAAATGGGGAACGACGAGGAACATTTTAGGGTTTCGACTAAGATTATCTTCATATATATAGCGTATACAATGGATAAATACTAAGAATAATACATAGGCAGGTGAAATGATGAGTTTACCCCTTCATTTAAAATTCAATTAACCGTATTCTGACGAAAGGACCTCAATTGGAAAGAAATTGAAAGTCAAGGGACCTAAAGTGTTCAAATTAAAAGTCAAGGACTAATTTTGGAAAATCAATATAGTCGGAGGACCATTGCTGGAATTAACTCAATTTTGCAATGTAGAAATATTTTTATTTGCTAGAATTATTTTGAGAATTAACTTTAGATGATAATTGATGTGGTAAATTTCGTAAGTCCCACAAACACGTAGAGTACGAGGTCCAATCGTAGACTGGTCAAATAATGGTTTGCTTGTTGGTTTAAGAGTTTAAGTCCGATTGATGACGTAAGGTCAGAGGTCCCCGGGCTTAATAAGACTAGATAGAAATTGTCAAAAATCCCCTCTCCCTGTATTTAATGGACTATTTATAGGAAAATTGAAGGGAAGACATGCCGTAAGATCGGCATGTGTGATGTGTGTTCCTCATGCAGAGATGTATAGGCCAGAGGCCTTGCGGATTTCATCACGTGCTCGAAGATTCTTGAAGTCCGTACTTTTACCGCCGCTGGGCTAGGCTAATATGATTGTTGACCAATTCTCGCACTGGGGGAGGTCGGGTTATTTGCCTCCTTGCCGACCTATTTAGGTCGGAAAAGGATCCAAGTTTCGGGAATTAAGGCAACTTTCTTACCTTGGTCGACACTTTGTTGGAAATCGGTTCAGGTCGCCTCGGGTCGGCTGATGGTCGAGAATGATTGCCCTTAGTGACCTACCCGTAGGTCGAGCAGGTATATGTTACGGTTAGATACGTGTCCGGACGTATATTCCCGATCAATAACTAATTATAAGAATGTAGTAAATGTATAAAATTTTGATCCATTTAATAATAATAATAATAATAATAACAACAACAACAACAACAACAACAACAACAACAACAATAATAATAATAATAATAATAATAATAATAATAAAAACTGAAAAAGGGATCTCAGGAGCATATGCTAAATAAAATTCTCTTAGATAACTTTAAAAATACTTTTTTATAGCGAAAAAAAAAGTGAAAAAGGGATCTCAAGAGAATATGCTAAATAAAATTCTCTGACATAATTAAAGATATTGGTTTTTTTTTTGTGTGTTAATTGATTACCAATTTTAGAAATAGTTTACTCTTTTTTTTTTTAATGTTTAAGATATATCTCAAATAGTCAAAGATCTGATTAAGCAGTATAATTGTGACTTTCTCAAATAAGAGATCATAGGTTCAAATTCCAATGTGGCATGTATTACATTATAATCGAGTATTATGCAAAACGAAAAAAAAACTAAAATTATCCTGAAAAAAGTTACAAATATAAATGGACTAAATCATAATTTCAAGTTCGATTATTGTCAATACTATTTTAATTAAATTACTTCTGCAAATTTGTCAAGCGCGAAAAGGATAGTCACGAAAACGGTTGGGGCGGCGCCTACGTAGCCCATCCTCGTCAGCCAGGAATCATTCACGAACAGAAACGAGGTTTAGTACGATGCACAGACTGACATGCAAAACAGCATTAATTGCCCGTTTGCATAATCCTACACTTTTGTTGCTTGCCTTTTTCACTTTTTTCCAGAAAATAATGGTGCAAAAAGGAGTTAATTAAATTCATAAATTTTTTATATGAAAATTATATTTTTTTATGATGATCGCAATCACTACTTGTGACCTTATATCGCTTGTTATATACGTATATATACATATGTACGCAAACTTGAGTATATTAAAGAATTCAGTTCTCGATACCAGAAAAGTCTTTTGTTTCCATTCGAGTATATTATTTGCTCCTATAATCTCCGGCCCCGGGAATGGATTTGATTTACTAAAATTCCATCTTTTTATGCTGTAAACAAGCGGGTTTAATTTAGTTCTTGAAAGAAGCATGCATTCGATTCCAGTATCTATTGTAGTTGTTCTGAGTTTGAGCTTGCAGCTAGTTCATGGGATTCCGAGCACCCTAGACGGGCCCTCCGAGCCGGTGACTGTGGCATTGGATCAAACATTTAGAGGGCATGCAATCGACTTGCCAGACACTGACCCCAGAGTTCAGAGGAGTGTTAAAGGATGGGAGCCTGAGCAGATCTCTGTTTCACTTTCTTCTGCTCATCATTCTGTTTGGATTTCTTGGATCACTGGTGAGTTTTCTTGATTCAATCCCATCCCATGAGATTTTCAATTTGGGTTTTTCTCACCAGAAAAAAATGAAGCAGGACATCTATGGAGTCTGAGTTGTTAGGTGAACTGTTGTTGTGTGGTTAGCTATCTTTTCTGGCAAGTAGAGAGTTAATTTTTTTTTTTTCTTTTATGGTGATGTCTAGTTAGCTAAACAAATGCCCACCATCCACATAAAAGATTGAATCTTTAGTACTGTTGGGGGGAGGCCCTTGAAGGGCAAGTCCACCATTCCACCAGGTGGCTAGGGACCCTGAGCAAGGCCTGAAGGGTCAAGTTCAACACTTTTCGAAAATGTGGCGGGTGTATAAGAAAATAAAGTTTGGCATTTGCTACGAGCTATAGTTTTAGGTGTAATGATAAGCGCTTGATCGTAGGTGCGGGGAAATTGTTGGGCGGAGGAGGAGGAGGGGCAAGTGGCTATGGATTGTTGGGTAAAGGCGTGAAGGGCCAAGTCTAACATCCTGCTTCTCGAAAATGCGGCAACTAAATATAAGGAAATAATCCAAGGACCTTCTGGTCTAGTGGCACAAGTTACTCTCCCATATGGGAGGTTGTGGGTTCGAGCCTCAGTCGAGGCAGTATTGGCTCTTTGTGCTTCAGTAGGTTGAGAAAGTAGTTATGAACAGATACTGTATTGTAACAGAGTCAGTAGTACCTACTAACAATGAATTATATTAGGTAAACTTTGGAAAATGAGGTCTGTAATCAACAAAGGTGTTTAAATGTGGCATTTTTTTTTGCAGGGGAATTTCAAATTGGTGATAACATCAAACCATATGATCCAAGTAGTGTTGCCAGTGTTGTTCAATATGGGAAAGTTAAATGCAAATTGGATTGCAGTGCAATAGGTGAATCCCTTATTTACAGCCAACTTTATCCCTTTGTTGGCCTTCAGAACTACACCTCTGGAATTATACACCATGTCCAACTCACAGGTATTGATTTGTCTTTGCTAAGGTTCTGTTAAAATTGATTCGAAATTCATAATGATTCATGCTTTTCTTGATAATTTGTGTTTTTCCTATGTTCTGTCTTGCTGTAGCGTTGGAACCAGACACATTATACTATTATCGGTGTGGAGATCCTTCATTAAAGGCAATGAGTAAAATCTATCATTTCAAGACTATGCCGATTTCTAGTCCCGAGAGCTATCCGAAAAGAATAGCTATTGTAGGAGACCTCGGTCTTACATACAATACCACTTCAACTATCGGCCACTTGAGGAGCAACGACCCTGATCTTGTAGTACTGGTTGGAGATGTCACCTATGCTAACTTGTATCTGACCAATGGAACTGGCTCGGATTGCTATTCTTGCTCATTTGCAGATACTCCCATACATGAGACATACCAGCCACGCTGGGATTATTGGGGAAGGTGAAATGATCCAAATCCTAATGTCATTTCTTTAAGGAAAATACTATGTGTACTCCCACACACAAAATTTTGATGTAGACACTTGTATTGGGACCCACATAAAAAAAATAGCTTATCAGAGCCCGCCACATCAGGGAGTAAGATTTGGGAGAACATGTAGTAGAACTCTTTATTTAATATTTGTTCGTATCTGTCTTTCTTATGATATAATGATTAACCGTGTTTCTGAAACTCGATTGTGTTATAACAAGAAGTAAACTTTTCACATATGTAATGGGTTTTATCCTGGTTTTACAGATATATGCAGCCTCTGGTGTCTAAAGTTCCGATCATGGTAGTGGAAGGAAACCACGAGATTGAAGAACAGGCGGAGAACAAAACGTTTGCTGCTTATAGTTCTCGCTTTGCCTTCCCCTCCAAAGAAAGTGGATCTTCGTCCCCGTTCTATTATTCCTTTAATGCCGGAGGCATACATTTTATAATGCTTGGTGGTTATGCTGCTTACAATAAAACATGTATGCTATTGATCACAAGATTCTTCGTGAACTTTTTTTGCATCCTGGCTCGTCTTGATTGATTTATCTTACTTTGTCATTCTGTCTATCCTCGATGTTTCTGTTTCAGCTGATCAATACAAGTGGTTGGAGAGAGATCTGGCTAATGTTGACCGGAAAGTTACGCCTTGGCTTGTCGCCACATGGCATCCGCCTTGGTACTCTTCTTACACTGCACATTACCGAGAAGCTGAATGTATGAAGGTAGCAATGGAAGAGCTGTTGTACAAAGCCGGTGTTGATTTAGTCTTTAATGGACATGTAAGTACCTTAAACAAATATATATGTGAAACCTCTGAACAAGTTTTGGGCTCCAAGCAACACGTGACAGGAGTCTCCTTTTTTATCGGGGGACACGGAGAACCCATGACCTTTAGCATGGCTCTGATACCAAATTGAAGCATGTGCTCCATCTCAACTAATAGGCTAAGTTGATAGTTAGATTGCACATTAATGGTTATATGCTCAACAGGGATAATCATACTAGATTGGTTTCTCAGGTTCATGCGTATGAAAGATCAAACAGAGTATTTAACTACACATTAGATCCTTGTGGACCTGTTTACATAACAATTGGCGATGGTGGCAACAGAGAAAAGATGGCGATTTCGCATGCCGATGAGCCTGGTAATTGTCCCGAACCATCTAGTACACCGGATGAATTTATGGGTGGATTTTGCGCCTATAACTTCACATCAGGTCCAGCAGCCGGTAAGTTCTGCTGGAATCGACAGCCCGAATATAGTGCCTTCAGAGAAAGCAGCTTTGGCCATGGAATATTAGAGGTATACATAGTTATTAGTCCTCAAAAATTCATATCATGGACTTATAGCAATTAGCTATTAATTTGCTCGTAGCATTCGTATAATGTGTTGTGTTGATTGCAGGTGAAGAACGAGACACACGCTCTTTGGACATGGCATCGGAATCAAGACGTGTATAATGAAGCTGGCGATCAGATTTACATCGTGAGACAACCTGAAAAATGTTTGGTTGAACCGAAGGTAACAAAGTGCTCTGACCATTAACCGAAACAAAAAGTTGTTATACAAAAGGAAAACATTAATTCTCTGAGATAGAGAGGCTGCATATTCTGAACAAGAAATCCCAGAGTTTGCAGTTGAGGCATCATCAATGGAGTGTCCTGGCAAGTTATACAAAGAAGATGCAAATGTAGTATAGAAATTGAAGTTTGTAAAAGCCCATCCCTTCAATATAGGCAAATTATGCTGTTCAACCGTGTGCACCGTGAATTCATAATTTCTATACTATAAATTCATAATTTATATACTATAGATTCATAATTATTAAACTCTATATTCACAATTACAAAACTTTATGTTCATATTTCCAATTGTTGAACTCTGTATTCACAAATCATTGAACTATATGTTCATAATTTGATAACTGTACAGTTTAGAAATTATGAATCAATAGTATAAAAATTATGAATCTACAATATAAAAATTATGAACTTATAGTATAAAAATTATGAATCTAATTCCGGTTGCACTTGCATGGTGCACAACATAACACTCCTTCAATGTATACCTCAAATATGCAACACTTGTGACAAAATGATTATTAATTCACAGTAAACTCAAATTGGTAAGAAGTTAATAAATTATATATATATATATAGAAATGGTATGAGTGTAGAACAATTTCTTTTCCTTTCTAAAGAAATACATCTTTAGAGGCTCATTGATCAAACAAAATTTATAAAACAAAACTGGGCAAGAAATACAATGTGAATGCAGTAATACACTTTTCTCTCTCCCTCTCTAGTCTCTACCCCCCTCTCTCATATGGAACACTTTAACCTTTGAATTTTGAAACTTTAAAATAATCAAATAATATCAAGTTGGGTATATATGATGATATTCATTTCAAACTTCTTCATAAAACAAAATGTATGCCTCGGAGCGTAGAACTTCTTCCAAAGAAACCTCGCGCACATAAGCATCACTGGCGTAATACCACACAAAGTCTCCATTCTCAGTTTGCGATGTGTTCTTCTTGCCTCTTAGGTACGCAACGTAATGTCCTCCCCTCATCGTCCCCGAATGTTCCACCACTCCAAGCAATCGGTATTTGTACGCCTCTTTCTCTAAGCGGCTGCCCAATACATAATCGCAAGTTCAGATGGCATAATACTAAGTTAGAAACGCTACAAAGCCAATATAAGGGCATAAAACTGTACACGCAAGCACCTAGGACTAAGAACAGAACATCATGGCCAGTTAAGATCAATTGTATTCGATGTGTATAACAGAAACAGAATTAAAACAAGTTTGCCTCATTAACAAATGTGTTTAAATCGTAAGACAATCCAATTAAAGTGAAACCAGCACAGACCAGTGTTTTCTTTGAAACATCAAGCCCCATTAAGAAAACATATCATTAACCGAATGCTTTAAATCCCAAAAATGCCAAAGCAAGAATCTATTAGACAAGTAGGAGGAGGTGATCAAATTAACAACCTAAATCTTCATTTTGAGCATTAGATACAATACAATCTTCCCAATTTCTTAGTTCATAGATTCAGCTTTTCACATTTATATGATTAAAAGCATCAAACTGGTGGGAGATATTATTTTTTGAAAGTTAACCATACATGAATTGGGCTTTGTTATGTCCTTTTCTTACCATTCTTGCCATGCAAAAACTTTCTACCATGAGTTCTAAATAAATCTATCATACTTCAAAGAAAATTTGAATTCTTAACTTCTGCTTAAGTTCCATTACTGTGTGATTAACAAGTCCAAGGCCTAAATACTTTCAATCAAATAATTTAAAATAATTATTTCAAAAATAATGATTAACATACCTGGGATCTATATATGGTTTAAGATCAATCGTATACTTGAAATCAACATGGCCACTCAATTTACTTAACCGGCCTCGAGCATCTTGGCTGAATCTCTTCAAATGTATAGTCAAGATTGGAGGGGCCTTATTGATGAGGATCCTCTTAGTTGCATCTCTTTTCACTTTGACAATTTCAGAGTCCATCTCCTCGTCCTCGATTTCATCTGATTTAGATTTTCCAGAAGACAGGTCAGTTCCCTCCATAGTTTTAGTATTGTGGCATCCATCACGAGGATCCTCACTACATGTGTCATTGTTTTTGTCACTACAGGCATCTTCTGACTGCGATGATACAGCATCTGCCTCAGCTTTCTGATTAACTTTGTGTACAATGTTGACATGGCCATTACTTTCTCCATTTTGAGACAACGAGCTATGATCAATAGAATCCAATACATTTCCTTCCATATTTCTATTGGCAACTGCAAGCTCTGGAGGGGTATCACTAGAATTTATATCCCCGTACCCATTCACCAAAATCTCACGTCTATGTTTCAGCAACCCCTTCCTCTCTTTCATCTTTTGTTCTTGCAGAATTTTTGAACAATTTTCACACTGCCAGGCATGCTCAGTTTTGGTAAGCTGCTCAGGCTTTGTAAAATAAGCTAAACAACTCTCCACAGACACCGGAGCATCACTATTATCAACCTCATCTGGATCAGAGTCGCTGCTGTTCCCAGCAACAAAACCAGCTTTTCCAAGTTCTTTTGTGTCAGAGGCACCACTATTTGGCAAGGGCTTTACAGAACAACTTGCAGTCTCCTCGGGTTCATCAAATAAGCCTCCAAAGCCATCAAAGTCCACTGCATCTTCTTTGCAACCAGCTACAGATGAAACCTCACATGAAATTGAGGTTTCTTCTGTGTATGGAAGCAACAATATTTCTGAATCCTGTACCTGTAATGGTGCTTCATCTTCCAAACATGGTGTAGAAGAATTGATTCCCATGTTTGACTCTGCAAAGGAAATTTGATTACAGGATTCTGTGTTATTGTGAGTTTGAGTTGCATCCCCGGCTCCAGAATCTCCAAATAGTGCTATTTCATTAAATTTAGAAGCAATATCATGGTTATGCAACACTTTATCTTGTCCCTGATTACTCAAGCTTGCCAAATTGTCTGAAGAAGATGTCTCTAAATTAGGTTCCAAATTCTTCTGCAAGGATACATCCTGCTGAACAGAATTTTCATTCCCACAGCACTTACTTGTTGAAATATTGTCACTTTGTAAAGTTAAATCTTCATAATCTGGCTCAAGATAATCTAACCATGTAAAACTATCTGTGGAGGTTAACGTTTCTGCTCCATCTATTCTATTATTTTCAGATTCCTGAGTGGCAGAGGGTACATGTGAAATTAAACCCATGTTATCGGCCACAGTACTTGCATCAAGGGAATCCATTGGTGCATCTCCGAGAGGAACCACTGCAGGTTCTGGAACAGGTGTACTCAAATGTGATGAACCACAAGATGTCCTGCCATTGTCTGGAACACTCTGAGCAGGTGGAGACATTATAGATTTGCTAGCTTTTGCACTGATCCTTCCACTTCTCTTTGGGGGAGGTTTTGGTTTTTTTGCTCGACTTACCGTTTGAGATTTCTTAGATGGAGGTTTCTTAGTTGGAACTGGCAAAGAGACATCCAAGAATGGTTCATAGACTACCGAGGAGTGTCCACACTCTAGACAACTAACTGTGCTAGAAAGTTGCCCCCCGAAGATGGCATCAACAAAAGTAGGATCTGCACTTGGGGACTTGTCACCTTCCTTGGAAGCATGAATTTTTCTACTTGCAGTAAGTTCTTCAGTACTTAAGCCATCAAGCAAACATCGAAGCAACTCATGGCTATCTTGTTGTTGGTATCCTCGAAATTGAGGGGCCTTCGAACATATTGAACCAAAAAGAGATTTTGGATTTACAACACCCCTCAAGCCAGCTTCAGGGTTTGTCTCGGTGAAGAGCTTCTTCATAGAAGCAGTGAGAGGACCAATCGAACCATCCAACCTAAGAAAGTAGTCCCGCAACTTATTAATGGCAATAAGGTTCTGCATCACTGAATTAAAAAAACAAGTATTCCCTAAATTAATAAATCCTCTGACAGAATAACCGCCTTTCCCATTCAAGCCATCGGATGCAGAATGTTTCGATATGACACCACTTGTGACACTCCCACTCCCACTCCCAGACACCGCATCCTCAGCATCTAAATTAGTACCCTCAGGTTGCGTTCCTTTAATTAGTTTCACTATGTCTTGTATTACCTTTTTATGTTCACCACCGTCATCTACTTTATCGCCTGGAATAAGTGCACTGCAAGAAAAACACCAACGAAGCTGGGGATTTTCAAACTGGACAGCCAGTGCATGATGAAGTTTCTTTGCATGCCGAACAGCATGACTTTGAGGTGTAGTAGGCAAACCAACACCTCCACATGAAAAATGACCACAATCTAAACAAACCCATATAGCTTTATCCACGCCTGCCTTCTTTTTCCCATGTTTATTCTTCCCCTTACCAGGCCGCTTATCACCAGCACCACCCATGCATTCTTCACACGTAATAGATTCTGACGAACCAAGTTTTGCAGAAACTTTCTCAAGATTAACAGCTTTATCAATATGGGGGCATGCTTTTCTCTCTTTAGCAACTACATTTACATCTTCTGGAGCTTCAGTATTTTGTGTACTCTGTTGAGGAGTAGCGGTAGGAGATCCAGCAGCAACCCGTTTCTCCTTGTGACCACTTCTAGCCTTCTTCTTAACCTTTTTCCCCATTTACCCTATTGCCAACATACCAAAATCATAAACACTCAGTGCTAAATATTACCAAAACTAAATGAACTTATTGAAACCAAAGTTGCATCATAACTGAACTAACAAAGATTATGACTATCACACACTCAATGGAATACCTAAACCATCAATACCATGTACTCCATAGCCACTACAAATCATCTAAACACTAGATATACAACAAGAACTCAAACTGTTTCAGTCTAGCAACACATACAGATAGGCAAATATATGTAATTATATATGCAGTTATGTATACAGACAAAAACAGCTTAGATACAACAAACTTAGCAGAACAATCCGAATCCACAATCTGATTATTATACTGGAGAATAGGGAAGTCTAAGAGATATACCAGATGTAAATATGTAATTTCCATTACTCTTAAATAAAGATTCAGAGAAATCCTTAAGGATTATATTAAAAAATAACATAATCCAATGAAAAACGTATATAGATGAAAACATAAGACTGCATCGGACGTTTACCAGAAAAAAGGAAAAAGGAAAAAACTTTGAAATTGCTTCACGAATCTGCTAAGAATCCGCGGTGCAAATGGAGAGTAAAAGAGGGGAGTTTATGAAAGATTAGATGGCGACGGAGAATTTGAGAGAAAAGGTGTGGGGGTGGATGAAGATTGAAGTGGAGGGTTTTTGGTGTTCTTGCCGCACAACCCTGTGAATCTATGGTGCTGCCACTATAACTTGCAGGGTGATTAGCGGCAATGGTGAAAAAATAGGGAGAAGAAAACAATGGTGAAAAGTGAAAATTTGGGAGGGAGAATTGTGTATCCCTATGAATCTATAATCTACTGGGGTAAAAATCCCACTGTATTTACTGTAAATTTTTTTGGAATCTGCTGTTTTACAGGGGGGATTGCCGAGTATACAAGACGAGAGAGGTCTCACCTTTAGAAACTAGGTTTACAGATTATTGGCAATCTACGGTTGAAACAAGTAGATTCTTGCAAGGCATAAGATTCTAAATTCGACTTAAATTCATATTGAATGCATAATAGAATGAGTTTATTATCGAAATGATCCATCGACTATTGCGAAATTATCAATTTAATCTTCGATAATTTTTTGTTCCTAATTAAGTTCTTAACTTTGAAAATGTTAACCAATTTAATTTTTCGTTTATTTTGTCGTTAGACACATCTGTTAACTTGAGATGAAATTAATAATTTCACAATAGTCAATGGATCATTTCGATAATAAATTTTAATATAATTTTAATTATAATTAATCTTGTTGCAAATTAAAACAAAAATATATTTAATAATAATAATAATTAACCAATGTCATGTAGTGAAGTAAATTTATGAGGGTATGTAGTATAAATTACTTTTTATTCAAGTTAAAAAAAAGAAAAACAAAAAAAAAAAAACACCAAATCTTATAGTAATAGTTTTGTTCATGATAGTGAATAATGACAGAATAAATCATCGTTTTACATAGGTAATGGCTTGCAATGAGGTGTCGTCTTAGGCTCTTAAGTGATGGTATATAAATTGAATCAATTTTTTTTCTTTTTTTTATGAAATCTAGTTGTTTTTTTAACTAATTAAGCATAAATTGGCTCGATTATGACGGATTACATTGATGTTGTGTGTGTTTTTAATATTGTCATCGTTAATCATGTTAAATTATCATTATACCGTAACACATGTTATTGTGCAGATTATAGGTTTTCAATTAGGTTCGGGATATTAGGCTTCCACCGCTCCACTGTATATTTGGGATTTATTTGTTCTTTATTAATGTTATATTTTAGTTTACTTCAATAACTACAACAACAGTAGTGTTATAGAACCAACTACTTTTTATTTATGAGGCAATCCATCAGAGTTAATTATGTTGTTGACTTGGTAACTATGATGTTATCAGTTCGATTTATTGGCTTTATTAATTTAAGCCGATCAATTATTTGCTAACTATAGTCACAATGTGAGATTTGTCATTTCCTGTGTCATTAAAAAATTATTTTATTTTTAAAGAAAAAATAAAATACATATTAAGCTCGTTGGACTAGGCAGGGCATGTCAACAAACCTTCTCTTTGGTGGGCATCTATTTTCGAAACCCACCTCCATACCTAAGTAGGAGGCGGGCGGGCAAAGCGTGTTATGACGGCTCTATATGAAGCTATATATTGAAATGTATGCTAATAATATGTTCAGTGTTGCAAAACTTATAAGTAATACAATGTCAAAAGTTGGTATGAATTTATTTGATGGTCTTGAATACAATTGTGATATGGATATGTTTCAAAAGTTTTAGCATGCATTAAAATATGCTGATGGTTTGACTTATGATGAAATGAAACTTGTTTCGTAAAGCTCACTGATTATCATAATAAAGTGACTTTTTTTATCTGATCATGATCGAAAACAGTGGATAAGAAGATTCCTCGATGGCAGTTCACATTTTACGAACATTACTGCTATCATTTGATTGTTTTGAAATTTATTATTATTATTATTATTATTATTATTATTATTATTATTATTTTGAAACACACATTATTAATAATGTTATGTACATTATTAATAACATTTTATTGTTGTTGAATATTTTGTTGAAAAAAAAAATGTTATTCTTCTTTTGAATATTATTAAATGTTCTTTAATTTTTTTTTATTTATATGAATATTTTGTTTGATAACTTACACATCATGATTATTACTATCATTATATATTTTGTATAGGGATATTTTCGCATTTTAAACATATATTCTTACGGTTAGACCAACCAAACACGAAATGACATTCTTAACGTCTATTTCTTACTTTCTCAAAAAAAAAAGTATATTCCTTATCAAATAATAAAAACAAATCATATTATATTCCTTATGTATTCACTTAAAATTTATTATGTGAACCAAACACGCTAACAATAATAATTTAAGATGTAATTTTAAACTACTTTTTCACAAATATTAAATTAAAAATTTAATATTAATTAAAAATTAAAAATGTGTAAAAAATTAATCAAATAATATCACATACACATGTATAAAAATGTGTCCACATATAACAAAATTCTGCTTCTTTCTATTTACCGAAACAAATCGTAATGTCTTTTTCATACAAATTTCCAGACGATAAAAAATATTAATACAAATGGAAAAAAACAAATGAAGAAGGCACGTTTGATCACGATCGTCGATAACCATAAATTCCCATTCCCTCCCATCGATCTACGGTCCTCAATGAGTCACCACCAAAAGTCAAACCGACAATTAATGTTTTACTCCGTACTATTTTTAAATTCCCGGCCATCTCCTATATATCTATATCAGGAATCCCTCTGCGTATTTTCTCAAATCGTCGCTGTACAGATTCTCTTCCTCCGGAGACTTTTTTCTTGGGTTATCAACAATGACTCATATCCTTTTCCACAACCCTAATTATTATTATTTTTGTTGATTTGATGTTTTTAATTATTTTTTTTTTTTTATGATGTAATTTGGATGATTGTTTATAGATTTTGGGGAATTTAACGTATGTGTTTGTGTATTCCTTGACCCAATCGAACGCGGAAACCAGAGGGAGAAAGACAGGGAAAGAGCTCAGGCTAGGACGGGGAAGGCCGGCAAGGTTAAAGGCAAGGATGATGGTCTGACTCCAGAACAGCGCCGTGAAAGGTATTTGATTTATTGATTTTCCGATCTATTTCTGTTTCGTAGAATCGAACTTGATTTCTGTAAGATTCGGTCTTTGGAATTTGTTTTGCCGCCTCTGTGTGGATTGAGATCTCGTGTGAAGGGTTTATTCGTTGTTTTATTAATTTTGATTTATGGATGGTGTTTCTTCTATGTTGTATGTAAATAGGATCACCTTTAGTTCATAGAATCTTCAGGAGCTGAATTTCATATCAATATCAGATAATTAGCTTTGTAGGAACAGAAGTGATTAGTAATTTTGGAGTATTTGTGATTAAAGTGCAGAAATTGGAAATGGCAGAATAAAGAAGGCAGCTTTTAGAGTAGAGAGGAAGGGGAAGTTGTTATTTATTCAATTTTTTTGAAACAATTGTTATTTCTTAATTAGTCTACTCCTTATTACAGTAACTTGAAGATCTATAGATTATTTATTGCAACATTATGGGAAGTACTCGAAGAGTTTTGTAAGTTTACTGATGGTGTGATTAGTTTTTGTATCATAGTGGACAAACTCTCACTTAAACGAAAGCATTTGGAAGTTCTAAAATCTTCCTTCTTATGGATGACATGATTTCTGTTAGGTGGGACTTGAGAGTAGAATTAAGGAATGCAATCTTGATACGTGGCAAGAAAAATTTAAGTATTTTCTGTGCCCAGCAATAGTTTATATGGACTAATTCTTTATAGTGATCCAGTTAGAATATTAATAATGAGTGAGTGAACTTGAAGTTTTACACTACTTATTTTGACATTTGGTATTACATGTTCTCTCTTGTAACCCTTATGAATTGTTATATGATTTGGAGATCAAGTTTATGGACATTTAAGATATATATATATATATATATATATATATATATATATATATATATATATATATATATATGGTGACATTTGTGTATTATCAACAATCCAAGGTTGCTTTTGACGATAAGTGTAGAGAGCATTTTTAGTGTTCCCTCATTGTGGGATTCATTTGTGCTTTATGGACCAATGTATACTGAACATAGGCATTCAGAAATATATTTTATCATTAATCCAGCTTACAAATAACCATTCTCTCAGAACCCGTATATTGTGGTCTATGCTGTCAGGCTGCTGAACTTGATACTCGATGCTTGTAGGCATTAACGGTTTTTTTTTTTTTTTTTTTTTTTTTTTTTTTTCAATTTTAGGGATGCAAAAGCTCTTCAAGAAAAGGCTGCGAAGAAAGCAGGACAAGCTGCAGGGGGTAGCAGCACTGGGAATAAAGACACGAAGAAGTAGAACTTGTTCGGTGTTATAGGGCCTGTTATCTCGTCAACTTTCTCCATCTGCTAATTCCGTGTAATCCTTGTACTCCTTTTACATTTGTCTTTTGGATATGGTCCTTTTACATTTGTCTTTGGATTAGTTGGATTTGCCCAAGTGAAGATTTGTACAACATGGTTTGAACTTTGAACACTGATGATATTTTGCAACCATTTTGCCTGAGCAGAACTCAGTTGGGATTTCTAAATACAACAAATTTTAGTGTAAAGGTAGAAAACATCAAAACATGCCAACAGTCTTAAAAAACCTTGCAAAAATTGGAGGATTAAATTCAGTTTTTTTTTTTTTTTTTTGAGAAAATAAATGAAATTACAAAAGTTTAGGTTGTTTAGAGGAAACAAAATCTAAAAATTGCCAAGATTTTAGACCATATAAAATAATATTTAAAAATTCACTAGCTTGGGAGTTTGGGGCATTGTGAGTCCTGTTTAGATTATGTATATGCAGTCAATATATTATGTACATTTAGATTATAGATTATTATGTATTGGAAGTAAACTGAAAGTACATAATATATTAATTGTAATATGTACATAATTTGTTAACTGAAAATACGTAATATATATTAATTATAGGGACATAATCTCAACTAGGTCCATAATGCTCATGATTGAGTATAATTTGGGTTATACCATACTAAAGGCAAAACAATGCCTATTTGGGGGCTTTTGGAGGAGGGTGAACTTCAACATTGGCCCATTTGAAACCATTCCTTTAAATCAGTCAATCATGCAATGTTCATTTGGAGTTCAGAAAATTAAGAATAATGTCAAAATCCAAGTTCAATAGTGTAATAGATAATTTTAGGTGTTGATTAAATCTTTATTAAAATGTCAACTCAAGTTAAAGTGGATCAATCTCTTGTTTAACTCCACTTTTTAATGAAG